GGTTGGAGAGGAACGGCAACAGCGTTGACTGGCTTCACGTTAAATTCCTGACTGTTGATCTCAAGTGAGCACTTAACACTGCCCAGTAATCACACAGTATTTCTCTGATCTAATCATCTTTTCACTCTCTAAGGTGAGGAGTTCATACTCTCTTCAGTCTCAAACCTCCCATTCTTACTCTTAGCTAACGATCATGCTTCTATTTCAATGACAAAAGGAAAAAGATGCAATCAGAGGAGATAGCTCCCATCACCTCCACATCTTCTCACCACCCCGTCTAGAAGTCTGTGTAACATTCTATATTCTTCCTGTAACCACGGGTGGACTGCTGTGCCCTTGGCTAAACCACGCCCTCCTCCCAAGCACTACAATCCGTCCCCTCTTGCCCACTCAAGGTCATTGCTGTAGCATTCTCCCCTCTCCGCATCCTTGATTTTTCTCTTTCTACGGATCATCCCCATTAGCATGCAAACATTGAACTTTCTCTCCCACCTTTAAAAATCTGATTTTGACCTTTTTCCTCCTTCAGTGATACCCCCATTTCTCTCCTTCCCTTTAGCATTAAGTTCTTTGAAAGAGTTGACCATCATATCATCCATCTCCAATATCTCTTCTCCCGTTCTCCCTTGAGTCCATTCTAATCAAGTGTGGCCCCTGTCACTCCACTGCAGCTGCTCTTGCCAAGTCACCAGTGACTTAGGCACTGCTAATTCCAATGGTCAGCTCTCAGTCCTCATCTTATGTGACCTGTCAGAAGCATTGGAGGAGTTGTTCACTTCCTCTTTCTTCCAGGACCACACAAATACCTAGTTTGTATTAATTTTCTTTATTTTTTCTTTATTTTTAATTTTTAAATATGTTTAATTTTTTTTTTCATACCTAGTTTTTAACTTACCTTCTGGCTGTTTCTCCTCAGTCTCCTTTGCCCCAACCTCTAAATATTGGAGAGACCCAGGATTCAGAGCACATATCTCTTTTCTTCATCCCTTATGTCCTTCCTACTCAGTGTTGGGAACCAGCAACTTGACTTGGTAGAGTGTTAGAAATGCCCCACACCCACATCCCCAGACTTGCTGAATCAGAATCTGTATGTTAGCAAAATCCCTAGTAATCCATTTGCCCATTAATATTTATGATCACCGTAAGTGATCCTATCTAATTCCAGGGCTTTAAGGCTACCTATTTGCTGAGTCGACTACCAAATTTATATTTCTAGCCAAGAATCTCCAGTGAAATATAAACTCATTCATCCAACCGCTAGCAGCTTTCCTACGTGGATGTTTTAGAGTCATTCCCAACTTAACCATACAAAACTGAGCTCCTGATGTCCCCACTCAACCTGCTTCTCCAGTGCCCTTCCCTCTCCTCATTAATAACAACTCCATCCTTCCATTGCTCAGGCCAAACCCTTGGCATCATTCTTGCCTCTTTCCCATATTTAGTCTGTCAACAACCCTGTCAGTTCTACATTTGTGATGTAGTTAGAATTTAATTGTTTTCATCACCCCCACTATCTAGGACCAACTCTGCTTCTGTTCTTTCCCCTATTCCATTCTCTAAATATCAGCCAGAATAAATTTTGATAGATCTTACCACTCCTTTGTTCAAAGTCTCCCAGCATTCCCACCTTACTTAAGATGTGACCCACAAGATCTCACCTGGCCTGTTTCCTTCTTCCATTACCTCTTTGATTCTTCTGCTGTTTCTTTATTCTTTCATTACTGTGCTCCAATCTCACTTCCTTTCTCACTGTTCCACAAACTCCCCCCCCTTCCCTCCACTTCATAATCCCCTTTCCCTTATTTCCCTTATTTATTCATTTATTTATTAGAAAATCTAACATTCTCTCCTTTTTCTCTCTCTCTGTATTAGTCAGTGTTCCCCAGAGAAACAGAACCAAAAAGATATATAGAAAGTGACTTATTATGAGAGATTGGCTCATGCTATTATGAAGACTGAAAAAGCCTGCGATCTGCCATCTGCAAGCTGGAAGCCCAAGAAAGATGGTGGGCTTGAACGTGTGGGCCTGAACGTGTCCGTAGCTCCCCACATTGTCTACTCAAACACTTAGCAGTTGCACTGTAACAGTCTATTCACTTGCCTAGGATCACAACTAGATTAGAATCTTGTTCACTGTTTAACTCTATAGAACAGGTGATTTGCTTACTATCAAGGAGTTTGTATATGTGCCAAATATCAAGTGTATTATACTAAATTGCCAGGACCCCAAAGATCCGTTTATAATAATAAGTAACCACATGCATTATTTGGATTAAAACCAATTGTCCCACCATGCTGCCTAATGGGATCTTTTATATTATGCATTACTTTTTAAGGCAGCATTTCTCTAATTGTGTAATGAAAAAAGACACAAGGGATTAATACGTGTACATGATCAAATTGTCCTGATCCTGTACCCTCATACTTAGCTTATCGGATCTAGTCTCTTGGTATCTGGAAACTTTCTTGTCCAGGCCCTTTTTTAAAATTATCTTACACATTTAAGAGTGTGGTGTAGAGCTGGCCAATTACCTGGCCAATATGTTCTGTCTTAAACAATCTAATAATTCGGACAAAAAGGTCTTTTTCCTTAAGACCAAGTATTTTTTTACCTCAGTATCTACATATTAAATTCTTTACTTAACAATGCTTATGTTATGATTGTTCAAAAGGATGTTATATAATATTGTTATGAGCTGAGTGTTTGCCCTCCCCTGAAGTTCATATGTTGAAGACCTAAACCCCCAAATGTGATAGTATTTGGAGTTGGGGTTTTTAGAAGGAAATTAGGTTTAGATGAGGTCGAGGGTGGGACCTTCATGATGGGATTAGTGCCCTTATAAGAAGAGGAATACAGAGCGCGCGCTCTCTCTCTCTCTCTCTCTCTCTCTCCACTCACAAGTACAGAAGAAAGGCCATATGAGCACAGCTAGAAGGTGGATGTCTACAAGCCAGGAAGAGAGCTCTTCAGAGAACCCAACCATGCCAGTACCTTGATCTTGGCCTTCCCAGCCTCTAGAACTGTGAGAAATAAAATCTATTGTTTTTAAGCCACCCAGTCTGTACTATTTTGTTATAGTAGCCTGAGATGACTATGACACATATATTCTTCAAAATGCTTAAAAATTCTATGTAATGTGCCCCCTAATATTGCTAGAAAAATGTACCTAATGTAGCTATTTGAGAAATTATATGGACATACTAAAGATCTCATCTGAAGAAGGTTTTATTCACTTGAGTGTTCCAGTACTTCCCATTTTGGCCACAAACATAATTTCCTTATATGGCAATAGGTCAAAAGGTGAAGTGTTGTAGTGATACAGATTGAGACTGATCTTATAGGGCTTTTATTTAACATAATATACATGTAATATCAGATGGAAACTCTTAGAAAAACCCATTTTAACATGAATTACTAGCATTCTACAAGCTTTTCAGGACTAGTATTGCCCAAAGTTACCTTGAATAATAAAAAATTGACAACAGCAACTTGTCATAAAAGGATGATATTTAATAAATATAGAGAGATAATGAATAAATATATTAAAATTATTTTCTTATAACTTTTCTTATACCTACTCCTACCACCACCAAGGAACCAAATGTTTCCTTTATCCTTCAAGCAATCTTGTACATTTAGGTGGTGTCTTGAAGACTTTATGTCCTATTGATAGCCCAAAGGATATTCAAAAGAGGTTTCAAGTATCCTGTATATTTGGCTTAAGTATTATAATTGAAATTGAAATAATTTTAAACTGATGAATGATCTCGCCTTCATTGAATGTGACAACAGGAAGACGAAGTCTTCAGCTTCCACTTCTGAGACTGATATGTAAGACACTGGGAAGTATATACATCAGCAGTGTTTAGTCAACTTAAGTGTTTGAGATCGTTAACTTTCAGATATTACTTATTAGACACAAGGGGCCTCAGAATTAGAGGAGACATACTCTTACACTCTCTGGAATTTTGTTGCAGTTGCATCAGGATGGGCTTAGTAATATGATAACAAGAAAAAAAATTCAATGACTCTACATAGTGAACATTTATTTCTCCCCCATATTCATGTCTAATGCACATCAGCAGAGAGTTCTGCTCCCTATGGTAATCCAGGGACTAGAACCAAAGTAAAAGAAAGGAAACTTGGTAAATGATTGTTCTTAATACTTTCCTGAAGAAGCTACACATGTCACTTCTCTTCACATTTCATTGGCCAAAGGTAGAAAAATGACCATACTTTACTTTAGTTTAAAGGATAAAGAGACATGGAAGTTCAATTCTACAATGTGTCCAGAAGGGCATGACATATATTTGCAAAAGTTCACGTATAGAATTACAACAGTGTTTAAGAAAAACTCTCCTGTTTTCCTTCATTATGCTCACAGCACTATGTACTGCAACTGTGTGGGAGTGTTCCCCACACCAAGCAATTCTCAGGTTTTACAGACACCAGCTGGGTATTCTATAATTTAACTCAATTCTGACGCTATATACCTAGAGATAGTGTCAGATCTCACAGACCCTACAGGTTAAGGGCTCAGTCCCATAAGACTGGAAGACCCCCTCCACTCCCACCAATTGCAAGTCCAGGTTGTTACCTGTGTTTCTGACCAATTGCAAGTCCAGGTTGTTACCTGTGTTTCTGACTAATCAGCTCTCAATTGGAGGTTCCCATGACCCTCTCCTGGGGTTTGATTAATTTGCTAGAGGGCCTCACAGAACTCAGGAAAACACTTTACTCACTAGATTACTTATTTATTATAAAAGGATAATAATCAGGAACGGCCAGATGGAAAAAATACATAGGGCAAGGTATGTGGGATGGAGTGAAGAGCTTCCATGCCCTCTCTGGGCACACTATTGTTCCAACATCTCCACATATTCACCAACCTGGAAGCTCTTTGAACGTGCAGTTCAGGGATTTTTATGGAGGATTCATTATGTAAGCATAACTGATTCAATCATTGGCCATTGGTGACTGATTCAAACTCTAACCCCTTTCTTTTTCCTGGAGGTGGGGAGGTGGGACTGACAGTTCCAACCCTCTAATCAGACCATTGGTTGGTTCCTGTTGTCACATTCAATGAAGGCGAGATCATTCATCAGTTTAAAATTATTTCAATTTTGAAAAGCCCCCATCCTTAGGGGCTTTTCAAAAGTCTCCTCATTAACATAAACTCAGATGTGATTGAAAAAGACTTCTTATGAATAACAACAACAAAAAAAACACCTGTTTCACTTTTATCACTCTGGAGCTATTTCAGGAATTGAGGACAAAACCAAATATTATAACAAAATGTGCCCCTGTTGCTCTAATTACTTAGGAAATCACAAGGGTTTGGGGAGCTCTGAGCCAGAAACACAAAAACCAGATATATATTTCTTATCATAAATCATAACGTCACAAACAGCAACAGAAAGTTAGAACCGACGTACAGAATACAACTATGTCAATTAGAAATTTGAATATGTAGCCATAAAAAGAGCCATAAATCAGGTTATTTGTTTTTAAAGCTTCATTCTGCTGAATTTGTAGAGGTAAGTCTTAGATTCCAGGGGACCCACAGCAGAGCATTTGGAAGAAGTTGAGTAGTAGGTGGAGGTGGAATCCTGTGGAACACTGATGTTTGGATGAGCAAAGAAGGTGATGAGAAAGACTGAGGAGAAAATGTAAGTGCTTGAGAAGAACCAGAAGAGTCTTAAGCCAAGAAAGTAGAAAATTTGAGGAGATAAGTAGTTAACCGTGTCAAGTGCAGCAAAGCCCTCCAGTAACAAACTGAAAAGAGACCACGGAAGTGGGCAGTGTGGAGATGTTAATGGCATATCCACATAGAACCCCAGTGCACCTCAAATTCCAAGTCACAATTCCCAGTTCATCATCCTTCTCTCCAATCACACTCTTCCTCCTGCATTTTCTATTTTAATTTTTGGCATCTAGCCACCAAAGCTAGAAAGCTGAGAATAATTATATGCTCCTAGAACACCCACATCCACTCAATTTCATGCAGATTTCTATTCCGGAATATTTCTCAGATCCTCCTCTCCTATCCATCTGTACCCCAAAGCTGTAATTTGGGCCCTTGTTAGCATTTGCCTTGAGTGTTTTATGACCTCCTGACCAGTCTCCTTGCCTCTGGTCTTGTTTCTGTAAATCTGTACTAGTTATCTATGTCTGCATAACAAATTATCTTATACTTGTAACTTAAAACAACAATAAAAACATATTATCTCTCACTGTTCCTGTGGGCCAGGAATTCAGGGAAAGCTCAGCTGTGTGGTTCTGTTGTGAAGTTGTCGTCAAGACGTTGGCTGGAGCTGCAGTTGACTGAACCCTTGACCAGGGCTGGAGAATCCACTTCCAAGATGGCTCCCATGCATGGTTTGTAAATTGCTGTAGTTGTTGGTGGAAGACCTCAGTTCCTCCTTGGGGGTCCTGCTTGGTAGCCCTCCTCACAGAGTGGCTTGAATCACCTCATGGCCTGGTAACCTAGCTTCCACCACAGCAAATGATCCAAGATGCCAAGACAGAGGCTGCAATTCTTTTTATGACTTAGCCTCAGGACTCATCTGCACCATACCCTGTTGATTATGCAAAGTCTGTTGGAGAGAGGAGACCATATAAGTGCATGAATAGCAGAAGGTGTCAAGAGTTGAGCCAAGCTACTCCATGGTGTTGCTGCCTTAGCATCCATTTTGTTTAGCCAAGTGGCCTGCAGGAACCTTAAACTGACACTAGCCCCCTCATGCAAGCACATATCCCAGATAGCAGCCTGCAGAGTCACAAGCAAACGTAAGTTCCTGACATGACTTGCCTAACAGCCCTCATGATCAAAGTCTCCCTTGCCTTCCAGCACCTGTATACTTTATGCACCCCTTAATAAGACTCCCGTGGGGCTTACCTGTGCTGCAGGTCCTGCCCCTTTCTTTCTGTCTGCACTCTGCCTTGACCTTCCCATGTGATCCCTTGAGGTGTGCCCTGTACTTCTTCTAGGACCTGTGAGTAATAAACTTTTCTATTTCAATTTCTTCTGTCATCTGTGGTTGAACTTCAGCTTACCATCCAGCATTCTATGCTCCACTTAACAGATGTTTATTTAACAAAGTTATAACGGAAGGCAGGATCACCCAGATCATCTCGGAGGCTGGCTACCTGGACATTCTCTTCACTGCTATCAGAGTACCCTTTTAAACTTGTACGTACCAATTTGAAGTGCAAGTGGTGAATGTACAGTGTGTACAGTGTGGGTAGGGAGACTGCACAGAATGATAAAAGTTTGGCCCAGTTGCAGAGAATGGGAGAGGAAGCCATAGATTACAGTGGACAAGAAAAGAGATGTGTTGAATGGCATTGAAGATCATGAATCTGTAATGGCACCAACCAGATTGTTCAGAACATTTTCTTTGCAGTGCTAAATATTCTAACCATAGAAAAATAGAGCACAGATTTTGGCTGTGATGCAGTGTTGGGACTTTAACAGGAACATGGAGTGCAGGAAGGGGAGTGCCTGGGAATTGTGTTGCTGGTGAAGAATTCTAGTCATTAACCATGACACCCACATTGAGTAGGAAAGTAAATGGGTTTAGAAAGAAGCTGATAAGTTGAGAGAAAATGGGGTTATCAGGAGAAAATGGAGTAATGGGGGACGTGAAAGAGACATAGAACAGTACGGGTAGATTTAAAGGCATCAATGGATGTGAAAAACTTCAAAATTCAGGAGAAAGATCAGAGTGGGTATTGGAGTTCAGGGTGTCACAGGCGGGAGTATTCTGGCTTATAGCATGTCTATGATGTGGCCATGGGTGTAGGAAGCTGGAGTTCAGAAGTTCAAGAAACTGGAAAGCTAGAGTTTTGGAAAAGTCAGTCACTTGGACGTTGAAAGGTGTCAGTGTTATTCAACATAATAGAAGGATGTGGGATAGAAAAGTGAGCTACGAGTGAGGTACCAAGGTCTAGGATAAATGTCAAGTGGCTGGTAGGGGACAGCAATCTGGAGGGGAGAAGGCAGAATAGACAGATGCCATGGGGGTCTTTATGCAAAGATGAAGGAACAAGAGTTTGGAAGAGGCATTGAGGAGCTGTGAGAATACTGATACTGCCTTCTGGCCTCACACTTGGTGGATGGTACTGTTATTTGTCTCGGTTCTGCTGATGGGCAACAGGGAAGAATTAACATCTTCCACTAAAGGTTTTCTAGGGAGATGGTGACTTTGTAAAGAAGTCGTCTTTTTAAAATTTATTTATTTATTTATTTAATTTTTATGGCTGTGTTGGGTCTTAGTTGTGGCGCATGGGATCTTCATTGAGCACGTGGGATCTTTTGTTGTGGCACATAGGCTCTACGTTGTGGTGCGCCAGCTTCTCTCTAGTTGTGGCGTGAGGGTTTTTCTCTGCTGTAGTTGTGGCATGCAGGCTCCAGAACGCGTGTGCTCTGTACTTTGTGGCAGACAGCCTCTCTAGTTGAGGCCCTCGGGCTCAGCAGTTGTGGCAGTTGGGATTAGTTGCCCCACAGCATGTGGGATCTTAGTTCTCTGACCAGGGATCGAAACCAAGTCCCCTGCATTGGAAGGTGGATTCTTTACCACTGGACCACCAGGGAAGTCCCAAGAAGTCTACTCTTATTTAAGATAAGAAGGTGAAGTTATCATTCTGTGAAGGCATGTTTAGGATGTGTGTGTGTGTGCATGTAAGGGATTTTAATTACCATGAAACAGGAATTTCAGAGAGTATACTTGAAAAATTTGGAGAAAGGAAGGAGTGGAAAGGTGGGCAGGTGAAAATGACACAACACGGAGGTATCTGAGGATGAGAGTATGGAAAAACAGATGAGAAAAAGTGTGTGTTTCAGACGGTAACATGTGGCAAGGTGGAAATAAGTGTCCTTGTGGTTTCAAATGAAATCTGGCAGGAAGTTTTGGCAGAGACCCAGCAGAACTGGCTTTGAGATGGTGAGTCTGTAACAGCAACATTTGAGTAAAATCTCCTTGATCAGGGGTCTCTGAAATGTTCCAGGTGAGTCTTAGGGGCGTTAGCTTTACGTTTCCAAAGAAGGAAAACTCTTTTCTACCTAGAAAGGGCCTGGAAGTTTAGGGAGCTAAGAACAATTTCAATCAATGGGCAAAAAGTGTGGGTTTACATATAAAATAGATAAACAACAAGGATTTACTGTATAGCACAGGGAACTATATTCAATATCTTTTTTTTTTGATGTGGACTATTTTTAAAATCTTTATTGAATTTGTTATAATATTGCTTCTGCTTTATGTTTTGGTTTTTTGGCCCTGACACATGTGGGATCTTAGCTCCCTGACCAGGGATTGAACCTGCACACCCTGCACTGGAAGGCAAAGTCTTAACCACTGGACTGCCAGGGAAGTCCCTTCAATATCTTATAATAAAGTATAATGGAAAAGAATAGAACAAAATATATCGATATCTACATATATATGTATATGTATAATCAAATCACTTTGCTGTAGACCTGAAACTAACACAATATTGTAAATCAACTATACTTAAAAAAAATTTTTTTTGAACTTTTTAAATGTGGGTTTAAATTTGAATCTGGTCTGTGGTCTAGTTAATGATATTGTACAATTTTAACTTCCTGGCTTTGGTATTGTACTATATTACATAAGATTTTACCATTGAAGGAAGCTGAGTGAAGGGGACACAGGACTCACTGTATTATTTTTGTAATTTTCTGTGAGTTGATAATGATTTCAAAATAAAAATTAAACAAAAAGGAAGGATATAAGGCATAATCTGAAGGGATCTAAGTCCCAAGAGGGAGGAAATGAAGAGTAATGCACATTGTGAGACATAATGGGAGGGTGTGTGTGGTTCAGGGAGATGGTCCATGACTATTTCCAAGTGACTGGGGTCTTGAGGGCTGTCCTTCAGATCTCTGTGGATGTAATGCATAGGAAGCTTACTCTGTGAAGCTCATTAAATGTAGAACCAAAGCTCCTTGTGTACAGCAACTTTTTGCCTGCTTGAGTGACTGCTGAATCTTCAGCATTTAGGACAGTCAATATTTGGTGCATATAGGTTCTCTTTGGTTGAATAAATGAATGAATGATATCTCAGGGACTAATACCGTGGATAGGTTCTAAAGGGTTATTTATCTATTTATTCCTCAGTTTATTTTTCAGGAACTCAAACTTACCCAATATGACCATTATTCTCTAAAGAAAGATGAATAAATGACTTCTGGAGACCATCTTCAATGTTTTAGAGAAAGAATAGAAAATAATTTTTGTGGGGGATAAGAGTTTGCTTAGGAAGTAAAAGAGATGTCCTGTTTTTAATGGGGCTCTAGTGTTCCTAAAAAGCTCTCTAATAAAATTTTTTTAAAAAAATTATTTATGTTTTTAATTTATGGCTGCATTGGGTCTTCATTGCTGTGCACGGGCTTTCTCTAGTTGCAGTGAGTGGGGGTTACTCTTCGTTGCAGCACATGGGCTTCTCATTGCAGTGGCTTCTCTTGTTGTGGAGCATGGGCTCTAGGCACATGGGCTTCAGTAGTTGTGGCACATGGGCTCAGTAGTTGTGGCTCGTGGGCTCAGTAGTTGTGGCTCATGGGCTCTGGAGCAGAGGCTCAGTAGTTGTGGCGCACGGGCTTAGTGGCTCTGTGGCATGTGGGATCTTCCCAGACCAGGGCTCGAACCCATGTCCCCTGCATTGGCAGGCAGATACTTAACCACTGCACCACCAGGGAAGTCCCTCTAATAAAACTTTGATTTCCTATTTAAAAGAGAAAGCCACACAACTCTATTTAGAAACATCTTAGCTCTTTACTGGGGGGGAGAAAATAAAGCTACCATTTATTTAGCACTTGTGTGGCCTGGCATTGTGATAAACAATTACATACATCATTTTATTTAATTTTCCCAACAACCCTCTGCAGTTATTAGCTCTGTTTTACAAAGTAAGAAAATTAGACACAGAAAGGTTATGCAAACTCTGCTCACATGGCTGAAATGTTGAGGAACCAAGTTCAGGTGCAGTCTGATTCCAAAGCCTGGACTGTAAAAAAAAATTTTTTTTCTATTAAAGAGTAATTTACATGCAGAATAATTCATCACTTTTAGTGCCAAGTTCTGTGAATTTGGACTAATACATGCAGTAGAATAACTACCACCACAATCAAAATGTAGAATATTTCCCTCATTCCAGAAAGTTCTCTCATGCCCCTTTGTAGTCAACCTCTCCTCACACTCCTAGCCTCTGGCAACCACTGATTTTGCCTCTATAATTTTGCCTTTTCCCGAATGTCATATAACTGGAATCATAGAGTATTTACCTTCTGAAGCCTGGCTTCTTTTACTTACTATAATGCATCTGTGAGCTTCGTCCATGTTGTCTCATGTGTCATAGTT